ATTTCTTCCTTTCTTTCTCTTTCTCTCTCTCTCTGTGTCTGTGTGTGTGTGTGTGTGTGTGTGTGTGTGTGTGTGTGTGTGTGGCAGTGGTGGGTTTCAAAAATTTTCTGTAGGTGTGGCGTGCTTTCCGGGTCGACTGGTGGAACCTCTTCTAACCGGTTCGGTAGATTTGACGAACCGGTTCTACCGAATAGGTGCAAACTGGTAGGAACCAGTTGAAATGGATCTAGTAGAAGCAGGCATAACTTGCAAGAATAAAATCAGAGGTGGGTTTCAAATCCCAGCACTGCAGGTTAGCTCATGCTTGCGCGTCTGCTTGCTTGTGGGCGTGATGCTTCTGCACATGCACAGAAGTGGGTGGGTGGAGCCTCCCACCACCGCCACTACCGATTTCGGCCAAACCAGGAGCAACCTACCTCTGGACAGAATGGCCTGGAAGACTGATGAGTGGAATTGGGATAAACTAAATTAAGTTAAATTTCTTTTTTTTTTTTTTTTTGGTTCCTGTATTTAATTTTTTTTGCCCACTTCTCACTGTTTTCATTGCTTTGAATATTATTTACCACCACCATCCCACACCCACACACATTATTATAGTTATAGTATTAGTCTTGTTTTTCTTACTCTTAATACCCATGGCTTCACGATGCTTCCATACAAACCTGCAGACAGTTCTTATTTTGCTATATAATGATTATGTACAGAAAGCAAAATATGCACTTGAATCTGCTTACAGAGGCTGCTGCAAAGACAGTTTTATAAAGGGCCTCTGGGAGGATGGGATGGAGTTGCTTATGGGTGCAATTCTAATTCTATTTGCAAAGATTGGTTTAATTTGTAAATCCAATGAGAGCATGCTTCTAGTTTGACTAAGAAAAATACCTAGTGTTCATATTGTTGTTACTTATATTAGTTTGCCTAAGTTTCTAGTTTTCATGATCTTTTTGCTCAGTGGCAATCCACTTTCATATTGTTGCCACGAAAGCAACACAGATGCATTACGTGGTTGCCAGGAGTTGCATTGCACTTGAAGGGGACTTTTCTTTTTTTAATAATTATTTCTAATAGTTGTTGCTTTCTTCTTTTCTCTCCCTTCCTCCCTCCCTCCCCCCCCCTCTCTCTTCAAACAGGCAACTTGGCTCAAACAAGGGCAAGAGTAACAGCTGCATCCAGATCTTTACCTCCACAGCTTGGTTCAGGTCGTATTAAGGTCAGTACACACCTAAACTTTGAAAAGAGATCCGTATTTGAAAAGAGCCTGAAGTAGAGGTAGTCCTCCATTTACAACCACAACTGAGCCCAACATTTCTCTTGCTAAATGAGACATTTGTGAAGTGAATTTTGCCCCATTTTACAACCTTTCTTGTCACAGTTGTTAAGTGAACAACTGTGCCACTTTTAAGTTAGTAATGTGGTTGTTAAGTTGAACCTGGCTTCCCCATAGATTTTGCTTGTCAGAAGGTCACAAAAGGGGATCACGTGACCCTGGGACACTGCGACAGTCATAAATATGAACCAGCTAGAAATTTCTGAATTTTGATCACATGAGCATGGGGATCCCACAATAATTGTAAGTGTGTAAAACAAGCCATAAGCCACTTTTTCAGTGCCATGGTAACTTCAAATGGTCAGTAAATGAACTTTGTAAGTTGAAGACTATCTGTATATTAGAGGAGCCGAAATGCTTTTTTTATTTTTATTTTTGCTATTGGTATTTGTTTTCAAATTGAGTTTTAACCAATGATGGGATTCAAATAATATAACAACCGGTTCTCTGCCCTAATGACCAGCTGGGTAGGCATGGCTCAGTGGTCATGTGACCATGTGGGCATGGCCAACTCAACATCACTCACATCGATGGGCGCTTCGCCTTAGCTGTTACAATGTAATAAGGGTTAACTGGAGAGGCAGTTTCTGTATGCAGGGCAATAAAGATTAGGCTAGAAACAACACCAGAATGTTTCCTTCCTTCCTTCCTTGCAGGATTAGCCTTGTAAAGTGGAAAAAAACAAAAGGAGATTTCTTCCAACAACCGGTTCTCCAAATTGCTTAGAAAGTTAACAACTGGTTCTCCCCGAATAGGTTGAGCCTGCTGAATCCCACAATTGGACTTGTAACATTTGAGTTGTTTAATTTTGGTTGATTATTTGTCACATTACTATTAGAAAAGATGTTTTGCTTATTTTTCTTCTGTAGGAGAATAATCTTCATTGCCATTTTCTTTCTTTTTATTTGCTGTCTTTTTTTTCTTACTCTTGCTTATTAGTTGCACACAGAAAAATTAACATGTAATCTTCCCCACTGGAAATGATGTATTAATACTGTAGTCATACATGGGCTTTTAAGCAGTTCCCCTCCTGACCACAACACTATCACAAAATTAGCTGAATGTTATCAATAATGGAGGACAGAACATTGATAAAAGGTCAGATTTCTGTTTTTAAGTAAAACAGACATTTGACATAAAGTAACATTGACATTCTTTTCAGATTTCTTCATAGCATATGGTTTAACATTCTCTTCATTCATTTTCATGATTAGGTTTGGTGAATTTGGTAGACAGTATTCCATCAAAGTAGGTTAACGTCCCAAGGCCATCCTCCAATTATTTGATTGAATGTGAAATTACACAAGTCTTTTCCTATAACATGACACAGTTTCTCCTCCTCCACCCACTTCTTCTCTGAATTCTCAGCAGTGGAAGTCACCAAAGTTTTACTGAAGCTGGAGTGTTCCTTCTGTTACCAATTAAAATAAAACAAAACAAATGTTTCATCTTTGTATAAAGTGTCTTAACTATCCTCAAAGATTGTTGCCTCCTGCATCAGATTAAATGAAGAAGGTAGGGTCACTGCATGTTGGAACATCTAAAAGGACATAGAAGGTGAAGTTATTTCTGATTTCATTAAACAATACCAAGAAAGCAAGAGAACTAAACCAGTGGTGGGATTCAATTTTTTTTGCTACCGCTCCTGTGGGCGTGTCAGGGGAAGGTTACTCCAAAATCTCCCTTCGATCCCCACTCCAGGGGAAAGATACTGTAAAATCTCCATTCCCTCCCCAGGTTACTGCAACATCCTCATTTCCTCCCGATCAGCTGGGACTCCGGAGGCAGAGAATAGATAGGGGCGGGGCCAGTCAGAGGTGGTATTTACCAATTCTCCAAGCTACACAAAATTTCCACTACCGGTTCTCCAGAACTAGTCAGAAGCTGCTGAATACCACCTCGGAACTAAACACAGAATTGCTGTTTTTGCTGGCCGATCTATAATGTCTATTGTTTCTAATTTTACCCTATTTTTTCCAGAGCTAGACTCTTTCTTCCGTATTGATATGTAGGCCCACACATAAAAAATGATAAACTGAAAAATGGGAATTAAGCAACAACATGAAATAAGATTGAAGCATCTTTGAATCATTATCTTTCTTTGGTTGTTTTATACAAGATACAAAGTGCTGTCATCTGTTGTCCTCATTCCCCAATGAAAGGAGTTGTCTTCCTTTTGATCAGATACTGGTAGTTCTTGACTTACAACTACAATTGTGACTGGAATTTCAGTTGTAAATCAGTATGGTGTAAGTGACCAGACTTGATTTTTTCCCCAGCCTTCTGAGGTCAGGCCTCTTTTTTTTAATTGAGAATTTTGAAGAAAAAAAAAACTTTTACAAATATTTACATATTTGCATTATTTTTAGTTTTATTCTCGGCTTCTTCCCTGCCCATACAAATTTATTGATGCCCTTCTGCCATTCTAGCAAATTCGCATCTTTTTTAAAGTATTGGTATCATTTGAAAAAGAAATAAAAAGACTTGATTTTTAATGATCATTTTTACGGTGGTCACACAGCAAATTGTTAAGTGAATCACAAAGTCATTAAATGAATCCAGAGATTCCAAGGGATGTTTTTGCTGGAAACTGGTAAAAATGTTACAAATCATTATCATGTGACTGCAGGACACAGCAGCCTGTCATAAATGCGAGCCCATTGAAAAACACCTGAATTGTGATCACATGACCATGGGGGAAGTGCGGTAGTCATAAGTGGGAGTACAGGTCCTAAGGCACTTTTTGCAAGGCTGTTGTATCTTTGAACCATCCTTAAACGAATGACTGTTAAGTTGAAGACTGCCTGTAATGTAGAACAGCCTACTTCTACAGGAGTAAAATTGATTACATCTCCCTCCCATTCCTAAATAACCCTTCCCTTCTGCCATCTTTGCTGTTGCAAAGGGAGTTGTCCCTAACTCTCTGGAGAAAAGTTGGAGTGGGACAGTGAACTGAGAGGCAGAGAGTAATTCAATGTTTGTGTGTGTGAAAATTGGGTCTTTCAATTAGCAGAGACTAACCAGATCTAAAAAAAAATCCTTGAGACAGGGAAGTAATTGTTGGTGTGTAGACTTAAAAATAGAAGAATAAATAAAAAAGTAAACCATACAGCTTTTAGCCCAAAGAGAACAGTCTTCCTGAATGCTGGCATCTGGAGATTAAAAGAACCTTAGAAGATAATATGGACAGAGGTGGTATTCAGCCGGTTCGGTAGTGGAAATCATGGGTAGGCCTGCCCACCGACCCTGGCTCTATGCCGTCCTATTTAGGCACATTTTTTTGAGGCTGGGTGCATGCGTATGTACAAGTAAAGCACATCCACGGAAGGCTGGGCGCATGCGTGGAAGGGGCACATGCGTGGTGCGAACTGGTGGTAACAAAATGTGAAACCTACTGCTGAATACGGAGCGATAATACTAATATGGGGTTCAGCATGGAATCCTTTTCCCTCTCTCCTCTAGAGAAAAAGGTTGCACGTTTCTGCTCAGAAATATCTCCCTCGCTTCTTTCCCTTGAGATGTGAATTTAGAAGGTTGACATTTCCTTGGTTATGTGACCTACATTTCTCATTGCCCATGCTGAGGCAGCATTTCTTTCCTCTGGCCTTACGTGGGACTTTTCTGTCATCACTAAAAATGTCTTGCAGAGGGCCTTTTTCAACATTTTCATTTGAAATCTGTTTTGTTCTCTGAGCGGGGGGGGGGGGGGAGCAACTATTCTCAGTTTTGAAGGAAAAAAAGATTTTATTTTTCCAGATTTCCCCCCTCCTTCTCCTCTCTCTGTATCAGCCTGTCTCTTTCCTGGCACTGTATCAAAGAGTCTGATCTTAAATCCACTCCCACTCTTGTAATTCTCCTGAGTGCTTCTTTCTTCTCCTAGCTGTTTTGCATGCACTCCACAAGGTAAGGCATAGCATTCCTATTTGGAGATCAGCCATCATTTCCACTCCTTAATGCTATGGGTGGGTAACCTTGGGGGGAAAAGGGGAAGAGACTCTGCCTAGGAAACAGTAAGATAAGAGAGGTAGGAACCCTTAGTGGCTTAAAGATCAGAGGAAGAAGGTCCTTAGGAAGGACTCACCCCAGGGTTGGTATTACCTTCCCTACCGGTCTGCAAATGTGAGCGTGCACGTCCGTGCATGCACTCATCTTTCCGTGCATGTGCTTTGGCTAAAAAAAGTGCCTAAATGGGATGCCATAGAGCCGGAGTAGGTGGGCGGGGCCAGCCACGATTTCCACTACTGGTTCAGGTCAACCAGTCCGAACCGGCAGAATACCACCTCTGACTCGCCCTGATGAATCAAGCAGGTAAAGGTGCTGGCAAGAAGTTGTACTAACTTACAACTGAAATTCCAGTCACATTTGGGGTTGTAAGTCAAGGACTACCTGTATCTGATCAAAAATGCATCAACAGACTTGTAAAATTCTGTTAATGTAGCCTTTCAATAAAATAGTATTAGCTCATCTAGTCATGTTTCCTGTCTGTTTTACCAGGTAGGGCTGGCAAAGCCGCTGTTTGTAGCCCCTTTGAGAATATTAGCCCGGATCAGACATGACTTAGGAAACAGGATGTGAAGTGGTGGCCTCTGGGCTTAAAGCAGGTGCTAAAAATTCTGCACAAAGGCTTCACATATTCTTAGGTTAACCACCTGTTCGTAGCAGATGGCATGCTACCACAATATGTGGGTGTGTGCTGAAATGTTTCTAAGCACCATGTGAACAGGGAGCAGATTGTCTTATTTCATTTGGGTGATGCAATGAAACAAAGCAGCTTTTGATTGGCAACTACTAGAGAAGAATATATTTTTTTTCATTCACAAAGTCTGATGCATGTATTTATTTTTAATTTAGAACAGCTGTAGTGTTAGCATAAATGAAGGCAT